CCACCTCCGCCGGGAACTTGACCCGTTCCTCCATCTGGGCCACGTAGTAAGCCAGACCCTCCCTGATGGCAGCTTCATTCTCCTTGGTGGCCAGGGTGGTCACTGCATTCTCCAGGCAGGGCACCTTCCCACTGATGATGGTGTCCACGTAGCTCTGGGCTAACATGCCAAACACTGGGGAAGAGCAGAGCAAGGGAGGGGGGCATTAGGAAAATTCACACAGACTCCAGTGATGGCCAGTCCCCTGCTCTGGACTGGCCCTGGGGTTCTTCTGTTTTTGTTAGCTGAGTAGCTCACAAAGACACATCACTGATAGAAGCTGATGACATTTACTGCTATTGTTTATCTACAATGTATAACCCCAAGGGGTGTGCATGGCTCTTCACAGACCCAGAGCTGAGACTGGTCCCTGTCCTCAGGAGGTCACAGCCTAACCAAAGAGATAGACCTCATCATCTCGCTGTTTATAGTGTGAGGGTGGAAGAAGATGGGGGCATAGCTGAGCAGTGAGGGAAGGGAGTGTGAATGAAATGGGTTTGATGGAGGAGAGGGAGGGCACTTGGCACAAAGAATATATGAAGCAATTCCAGGCATAGGAGGCACCACGTAAAAGGCCTGAAGCTGAGATTGACTGAAATTTAGAGAACCGGACAGTGTTGGGCCCGAGGAGGGAGTCCTGGAGGAGATGAAGGTAGAGAGATAAATGTAGGGGAGGTGCTGCAAAAGCATTAGGGCTGCAGCCAAGGAGCCTGAATATGATGCAGAAAGTGACAGTAAACCAGGGAAGAGAGGGGAAGGGCAGTGACATGGTCAGAGAGGCAAGAGAGGACGCAGATCTTAGAAGCAGCATTTTGGGCAGCCTGCAGAGGTGGGGGAGAAAGTACACAGTACCAGGTGACCTGTGAGGGTCACATTTTATCCGTGGAGACAGAGGGAGGGGTAGATTTTAGAGAGAATATAGAGACTCATGGCCTGGTGAGAACATGCATGTGTGGATGTTGCTGAAAGAGAGGAGGTAGCAATGGGAGAATGGGTTGTGGGAATTCAAAAAATCATGTGGGACTGGAAGGAACCCTAAGAGGTCATCAAGTCCAGCCCCCTGTGGTAAGGCAAGGACAAGTAAACCTAGACTATCCCTGACAGGTGTTTGTCCAACCTGTTCTTAAAAACCTCATAAGAGCGGCCAGACTGGGTCAGACCAAAGGTCCATCTAGCCCAGTATCCTGTCTTCCAACAGTGGTCAATGTCAGGTGCCCCAGAGGACATGAACAGAACAGGGAATCAAGTGATCCATCCCCTCCAATGATGGGGATTCCACAACCTCCCTTGAAAGCCTTTTCCAGAGCTTAAGTATTCTTATAGTCAGCAAAGTTTTCCTAATATCTAACCTAAATCGGCCTTGCTGCAGATTAAGCCAATTACTTCTTGTCCTGTCTTCAGTGCACATGGAGAACTACTGATCACCATCCTCTTTATAACGGGCCTTAACATATTTGATGAAGACTGAGGAGGGACCTGATAATAATCTTTTCTGAAGATGAAACATGCCCAGTTTTATAAACCTTTCCTAATAGGCCAGATTTTCTAAACTTTTTATCATTTTTGTTGCTGTCCTCTGGACTGTCTCTAATTTGTCTCCTTCCAAGTCATTGAGGGCTCTGTCCTGTGAGGAGCTGAGCACTCTGACCCAGATGCAACAAAACACTTAAGCACATGATTAATTTTAACCACATGAGTGAACCCATCTGTTATGTACACTTGCGGTAGGACCATACTTTCCAGGACAGATGCATTTGACGAAGTGGGCATTCACCCACGAAAGCTTATGATGCAATACGTCTGTTAGTCTATAAGGTGCCACAGGACTCTTTGTCATGTATATGATTGTTAGTTACTATACAACACTAGCTGATTTTACTATTACCTCCCCATTTTCCACCTTCTGCACGACACCCCTTCTGTTTGCCCATCTCCTTATTGTAACTTGACATAAACATAACCCTGGAAATATCAACAGAAGGCTAATTTGAACAAGCCTAGCCTACACTAAGCTCTTAAGGAGATGGGGATGACATAGTAAAATTGTACACTGGAAAGTCAGAGATATGTAATTTCATTTTGTTTCAGCAAAGCTCTCTGGCCTCAGGGGACAACCTGAACAGCTATAGGGCAGCCCAGAAGAGTTTTCAAGCTAATTACAAACAAGTATGTAATTAATGGGAAATCTAAGAAACAGGGATCCTAAAAACAGCACATCCTTGCCTTCCCTCAACAGTCCTGTCTTGTGAAGAGTCAGAGGAATTCCTATTTGGACATTATGGCCTTGGTGCACCGTTGCCTGGTCCCTTGTACAGCTATTTACACCAGTGCAAAATGGGTGTGGAAAACTGCTGCTATTTCACACTCACTTGCACTGGTGTAGATGAGTGCACAAGGCTCAGGGTGACGGTGCATTGGGCCTGTGAGATAAGTGAGGGTAGGAGAAGAGAAGGTGACTTTGGACCCACGCTGTGCCAAGGCTATTTCTGAGCACACACAGCTCACTCCCCAGTGTCAGATTCATCCCCCTGCTCTGCCCTGAGCCTGGCACCTGACACCAGAAAAAGCAGTGGTTTGGCCAGGCTTCCCAGCAGAGATGGCCAAAGAGCAGGACAGGCCTAAGATCCCCCAGTGCCTGAGTGCTGGGATGGTTAGGGAGGCAGAGCTCAGAGGGACATGGAGAAGGCCCATTGGATGTGACATAAAGGATAAGGTAACTGGGAGGTGTGCTGGAGGTACCAGGGCACATCCGAAGGGGTGAGAGGCTTGGGGTAGGTGAGATGAGGGTTGGGAAGGCAACAAAATCCATTGGAGCACTGGGGAGGAGAAGGGATGACTGCGAGGGCATAGGGAAGAGACCAGGACACATTGGAGAATTTTTAAGTCCCTGGCTGATGCAGTATGGTTTATGGGGAAGGGGAAAGTGCCCTATAGAAATTCAGGGACTGGATTATTTTATATGCTGATGTCTCAAAATCTGTAACACTTTGGTGGCAGATAAGGGTTTCTATCTGTTCAGAAAAACTAAGGAAAGTAAGTCCACCATTAACACAGGACGGAGCACTGCTCACTAATAGGCTCCACTGACCAAGTTTTCAGTTTTCTGACAAGTCTGGGATTCGCCATCTGTAAGATCTGCCCAGGTAGTCAGGCTGGAGGCAGGAATGACGAGGTGAAATTCTCCAGCCTGTGCTATGCAGGAGCTCCGACCAGATGGTTACAATACAGTGGTCCCTGGTGGTCTCATAATCTGAGTCTTATGAGTTATTAGAGGGAGAGGCAGCTGGCAAGGGGCCAGTAAAGGGACTGGTTTTCACGGACGGTGAGGAATGGCCAGGTGGCCAGCTGAGAAGGGGGTGGGGAACAGACCAGGAAAAGCTGGGGAGAGAGGCAGGGCAGTTCCCAGGGGGAGAGAGAGGAAGGGAGGGAAGGGGTAGCTGGTGAATGGTGAGGAAGGGACTGAAATTTGCTATGATCTCGTTTCTTTGGGCTCCCCCCATCTGTCTCTCTGTCTGTCACCTGTTTCTCTTGTCTTATAGTTTGGTTTGGTCAATACTAGAGCTTATTTCTGTAGAACTTACATTGCTCATGGGGTGTGAATAATCCACACCCCTGTGTGATGCAAGTTACACCGACCTAAGCGCGAAGGTGGAGTTGTTATGCTAACAGAAGTGCTCTCTCCCATCGACCGAGAGAATCTTCACCAGACACGTTACACATCAGTGCAGCTGCACCACTGTAGACAATCCCTGAGACTGGAAGCTCTTTGGGGCAGGGACTATCTTTTTGTTCTGTGTTTGCACAGCGCCTATCACAGTGGGCTCTTGGTTGGTGACTACGGCTCCTGGGCACTACAGCCATACAAATAAACAACAAGTAAATGAATAAAATATGACTGCTACTACTGAGACACATTGACGGGTAGGAGGGAGAGGGCAGCAGGAATGGGGTGCAGACAGGGCCAGGGTACATGATATAAAATTCCCCGTGTTTTGTTAGGACACTAGAAGTTACACTCTATCCCCAAGTGAATCAGTGGAGGCTGATGACATGTTCTTCCTATTCTTATTCTTGCGCAGTGGGGACAGCATGGCTGCACAATTACATTGATTTGTTATTCTCACGCCCATGACGTACTTCGCCCATTGATGTGGTGCCCTCCTTTTAGCATCTTCACTTTCGACTCCCGGAGAACGTACTGGCAGAATCTTTTGCTCTGCTCCAGGAACTCGGGCTGTAGGGCGCTGTCAGAGAGCGACTCCAGCTGCTTCATGTCCCTTTCGCTGGCCGGCCTGATAAATATGAAGCACTTGCGTGTGGGGAAGTAATCACGGATGCACTGACGCGGGAGGTTGTACTCCATCACCTCCCTGCTCCGGCCTGTACCAAGGGGGAAACAGAGTACACAGCAATACAGAGGAGAGAGAGAGAAAAAAAACTAGTGAATTCAAACAGTCTGGAATAGGACGGTTTTGTCTCCAGCAGCTTGTCTCATAGTAGAGCATCCATTCACCTGTCCTAGCTGCTGCTGGCTTATCACCATGCAAAGGCAGATCTATGCAAATACTGCTGTTTGCTCACAAACCCAGCTCCTTCAGTTTCCATCTTCCCAAATGAATACTTTCAAAGCAGGAATGACATTTAAAAACAAGAGTAAGATAGTATGACAGGGTAACGTGCCCTTAAGGGCAGTAGTGCCTAGTGGTCAGCCCACCCCACCACCTGGCAAGGCCCTGTAAGGATTTCGAAAGGCCCAATAAAGATACACAAGGACCTGAGGATGCTTAAAACTCAATTTTGCACGACCCTGAAAATTTAAAGAGACAAAAATAAAAAAATAAAATGATTTGAAGAATCTTTGTTATTCCATTATTGAGAAAGATCATTTCGGAGGAAAAAAGGTTCTGACACAGAGCTAAATTTTTGAAAGGGCCCATTTTAAAATTAATTTTAACTCAAACAAATTAATGAATTTACTTTTAAATTCTCAGAAAATTCATTCAGTAATAAGTGCTGTGATTCTAGGGAGGTTCCTATATTTTTCATATACAACAGAGGTTGGATCCCTGCTTTAACTGCAAACTCAAACTTCAGCATGGAGTTGTGAGCAGCATCCCCATAATAGCTTGGTTACAGTAACATGACAGTAGGTGTCCACAAAGCTGTACTAAAGTAGCACAACAGAGGGCTACGTGGTTCTGTAAACCCTTCAACCATAGCCCACTCTTCCTCCATTTCATTGGAAGTGAGTGACCTTGTTTGTCGGTTTGGTTTTTCTTTTATTTTCCTTAAAGTTTACAAGTGTGGTCTGTCTGTTTGGACATGCAGTGTTGTAGCCATGTGAGTTGCAGGATATTAGAGAGACAAGGTGGGTGAGGTAATATCTTTTATTGAACCAACTTGTGTTGGTGAGGGCAGGCCTACACTTAAAATGCTGCACCAACGCTGCTGCATTGCTGTAGCACTTCAGTGAAGAGCTACCTATGCTGACAGGAGGGCCTTCTGTCAATGTAGGTACTCCACCTCTGTGAGAGGCAGTAGCTATGTTGCCTTGAGAAGCCTTCCTATCGACCTAGCGCAGTCTGCACCAGGGGCCTAGGTCGATATAACTGTGTCACTCAGGGGTGTGGATTTTTCACACCTGTGAGCCATGTAGTTATATTAGGGTGACCATATGTCCCCGTTTGCCGGGGTTATTCCCCAGATGAGGTACTGTGTCCCTGGGCAAACCAAATCCCCGGAAGAGTCCCCGGTTCACCAAACTCATCCCCGCATACCCTTACTTTTAATTTCTCATGTTGGTTATTATGTCTAATGCATCAATGCATTAGAGATAAATATCCAGAATGTTTCTATTGTTATTATTACTGTTAGTTAGAACATAGATGTCACACCACTATTGCAGTTGCCATAGCTCTGATGCTGACTGAATGACATATGACATAGAACACATGCGAGATTTGGTGCAAAGTGAAAATGGCATTGTCAAAAATGCATAAATGCTGCTTTAACCAGCTTCAAAAGGATTTTTTATATTTACAACCAACTGGAAAGAAACATCTGTATTATGTTCAATAGGCCAGCCAGTATTTTCTGTTTGCAGTGGATGCAGGACATCTATAAAAGAACACGGAGTTATCACTAAACATAAAGCTGCTCTTACAGCAAGTGCTAGTTTCGAGTTCTGTTACTGATTTTTTTCCCACAAAGTTGAGCCAATACAGAGTGAGCATGACCTAGCAAGAAGGAATATATGCCTATCGTACTGTTAGACGTAATCACAGTTTCAGGTCAATGGATTGTACTTCCAATTTAAATTAAAAAAAATCAGCATTCCAAAATTCTCATGTGCATGGACAAAGTGTGAAGCAATTGTTGCAAATGTTTTTGCTCCATGGGCAAATGATGAACTAATTGATGACCAGAAAGACGTTGAATGTGTGTCACTGCCCGCTGATGCATTGAATCATGTAAAATTGCTTCCTGTACTGGTTTGCTGTTTTAAGTTTTATGAAGGCAGTTTGTGTGTGTGCAAATTAAACTTGTGGATTTTGGCAAACTTAAAGGGGAGATGTCCGAACTTACTGCAGCTGAAATAATTAACCTTATTAATAAGTGTGGAATCAAAAATAGAGTTGAAGCATTCTCAGTGGATAAAACAAACACAAAGTTTGGCAGCCTATACAGTAATGGAAGAGAAAATTTGCACACAGGGCCGGCTCCAGGCACTAGCTTAACAAGCAGGTGCTTGGGGCGGCCAAGGGAGAGGGGCGGCACCTGCAGCAATTTGGGGGCAGAAGGTCCCTTGCTCCCTCTGGGAGTGAAAGACCTGCCGCTGAACTGCCGCCGCCGCCGATCGCGGCTTTTTTCTTTTTTTTTTTGCTTGGGGCGGCAGAAATGCTGGAGCCGGCCCTGTTTGCACACCAAAGTAAAGACAAGCTGAAAAAGGGAAGTGATAGGTCTTGGATGCCCTACTCACATCATGCACAACTCTGCCCAAACTATAAGGGATATAATCCCAGTAGACCAGTGTTTCCCCAACCTTTTCCAGTCTCCACTCTTACTTCAGTAAAAAGATTGTGTGCCATACACTAAATTATAACAAAACTTAATTTTAATGAGAAATTTGAGCTTGTCTTGAGATGCAGAATCATAGGCGCTGACTCCGTGGGTGCTCCAGGGCCTGGGCACCCACATAAAAAGATGGGTGCTCAGCACCCACCAGCAGCTTCCCGCCCAGCGGTGGCCCGCCAATCAGCACCTCACCCTCCCCACAGTGCCTCCTTGCACTCTGGTGATCAGCTGTTCAGCGGTGTGCTGGAGGTGCTGGGAGGGATGGGGGGAGGAGTGAGGTTGGGCTGCGCTCAGGGGAGGGGGCAGAATGGGGATGTGAAGAGGCGGGGTGGGGCCGGAACAGGGGTGGGGCCGTGGGGAAGGGGTGGAGTGGGGACGAGGCCTGGAGTGGAGCCAGGGAGAGCACTCCACGGCACATTAGAAAATCAGCACCTGTGTGCTGAGAGTCATTTAATCCTGGCTGGAAATGTTGACAGTGCAACTCAGAGTTCTTGCTCCACCAATCTCAGATGCCACTGTCACTCAGAATGAATCCAAAGACATGTTGCCAAACTTAATTTTAAAAGAGTGATCCATCCTTAATTTGGCAAGATGCTCTTGAGTCATTATTGTAAGATTCTTAGCATTTCCCATTGCAGGGGAAATCCAGGAATCCCAGACTCGGTCAAAATCTTCTATATAGGTTGAAGGAAAATAGGAGCTGAATTTTTCCAGACTTTTCAAATGATGAGAAATGACATTGACCAAAATACCTCCAATAGGATCTGCCATGTTTTCCAGGGGGGACATCTTTATTGTGCCTTTTGCTGCTTTTTCACATCAGAGTTCTAACTTAGATCTAAACCCATGCAGTTTATCCATGCAGGAGAATATATTCTCATTTCTACCTTGCATTTTCCTGTTCAATTCATTGAGGTGGTGGAATGTATCAGTCAGGGAGGCAAGTTCAGTGATTAAGTCCATGTATGTGGATTTCTCCAAAGTTAAGAACATTTTTAACTCCTCTCTCAGCTTATACAAACATGGGAGAAGTTTTCCATGTCTGAAGCTAGAAAACTCAACTCTGTCCTGTTTTCTAGATCCAGACAAGATGTAAATATATTCCACATTAATCCAGAAGGGCATTTGTCCCCCTCTCATGGGTGATTCAAGTGAAGAAATGTATGAGTCTGCTACGGAGTCTGAATGGGATTATAGGATAAGGTTGCCTGAGATGGCCAGGGACTAGACTTGATGACGCAGACCTATGTTCTCTGTTCCTATGTACTGCCTCCAAACTAACAGCCTGGCCCTTTAGATCAAACTACAAAGGCTCATGTGTCTAGACCTAGACATCCCAAATTCACTCCTTGCTGATGACCAGTCATCAAACATCAAGCTTGGTATCAACAAAAATTGCTCCAATAATTTTAAAGATATGGAAGCTTATTTTTGAAGTGATCTCAAAAGGTGTTTAACTACAGAAGGTTGAAATGCCTCTTTCAGTCACTTTAAATTGATGAAGGTTTAAATGCTGGTAAGTTTTCACCACAGGTGTCTGAGTTTACAAATGGTAGGAAGTTAATCAGTAGTGCATATACGTGTACCATCTGCCACAGCTACTCAGATATACAGATAAAAGGTATTACACCAGTTCAGAAATGGTTTAACACAGTGCACAGTCTACCTATGTGAGAGCTTCAAACACTCATGATACCATCATATGAAAACTATTGTTTCCCAATCTACAGCCCAGTTTTCAATGGGGACCATTTTTATACAGGATCTCAACTTTCACAACTGAACCATCTTTACTATAGCCCAATTATACAAACCATAGTTGTTCCCTGACCTGGTATAGGTGAAAGGACCATCAGCCTTGAGTGGTTCCATCACCTCTCCCTCCCCTCTTGCAGAGCCAGTTGTACCGTGCCTTCTGATTCCCTTGCCAGCAGTTCTGTCCCAAGCCCCAGCAGAGCACTTACCCTTCTTCAGCATCAGCGCTCTCTCCAGATACTCATCCTCCGTCACCGCCTTCCCATCAATCTCCAGATCAAGGGTGAAGTCCTGCACGGTCCAGATGAAGTTTGGGAAGAAGCTGATGTACTCTGTGTCGAGAGCAGAATCCTCCTCCTCCCCCTTATCTGCTTTCATCTTTATGTGCTCAGAGAGCTCAGACACGAAGCTGACCAGGCAGCTAAGGAATCCAGACAAGTTCAGATGGGATGGCTAGAGACAGAGGCCAGGAGTAAAGCAGCCGTGCATGGAGTGTGTGTTGCACCCTGTGCTTTGGAAGGCCTCCCATGACGCCAGGGCAAGTCTGTCATTCCCTGTGCACCAATGACCACCCCTTCCCCTCCGCAGACTGGGCACCAGTGGCAGCTGCAACACACACACACACACACACACACACTCCCCTTCCCCCCTACTACCTGGGCCCTGTGGTGGCACATACAAACCCCACACTGCATCCAGGCCAGGTCAGGAAGGCATTAATGATCTATCCTGAAGACACAAGATGACCCACCCCTAGAGACATAGAGGGAGCTGGGAAATCTCACGACCATCTAGTGAGACAAGGGGCTTCCTGAGGGAAGAGAAAGCTCCGTCACAGATTGTTTGACTATTCAGAGAGTGGGCGAGACTGATTAGGACTCCCTGAGGGAAGATTAAGCCCAACTATGAACTAGGAGTGAAATCCTGGCCCCATTGACATGAGTGGGAGTTTTGACATTGACGTCACTGTGGCCAGGATTTCCCCTAGATGTTTCTTCGCCCCTGGAGCTCACCCCTGCCCATATCCAACTCGGACACGGACACTCAGTTTATTGCTTGACTTGTTTGCTTTGAATAAAGAGGGGTATTTCCAGCATCACCTAGACTTCTTTTTGACCTTAGCTGTGGCCAGTAGACACCCCACTGCTGTGTTACCTGAACAGCAGGTCTCCAACACTCCTCTGCTGGGGTCAGTGCCTTACAACTGTCCCGGATCCGGTTAGTGACGGAAGAGAGGACTCTGAGACTGAGCCAGGAAATGGATCCCAGCTTCTCCCCTTATTTGACTGGGTCCCACCAGCCAGTTTTCAATATTTATATTACATAGAAATAAATCTGCCCCCAAAGGGCAATATCCCATCACTGCCCCAATACAGATAACTGTCCAGCAGGTCTTCAAAACAGTCTTGATGTGGGCAAGTCATTTAACATCTTCCCTTCCGTGATGGGCTTTGCAAACACCACACTGAGAAACACAGAGTTAAAGGGCTAATGGGGGCTCAGGTGGTTCTGCACCATCACACCTGTGAGGGATATCAGGATTGGAGGGGGGAGCTGAAGAGAAAGAACTAGGGAGCAGAGCAGACCTCAGTTCTTGGAGAGAGGCTGTCTGACTGAAGCCGGAGCTCCCAAGATGACCGCTACCTGACGAGGGAAGGGAGGCCAGATGCTGATTCTTCTAGAAAGGGAACAATTCCCCTCTATTGCCTGTGAACTCAGTTTAGGGCCACAGCCTGACAGGAAGAGAGCCTTGACCCAACTTTGGAATGACTTGTTTGTGTTAATTCCCCTTGTTTCTGTTCACTGGCTGCCCTGGAAGGATGCCATCATGGAATGATGTCAGATTGGAGGGAGGTCTCAAGTGGGGATCCATAGGGATTCGTTCTGGCTCCAGTGTTGTTTAACACCTTTATTAATGACCTGGATATAGGTGTAGAGAGCATACTGATCAAATATGAAGATGACACAAACTAGAGGGGGGTTGACAACACCATGGAGGATAGAGCTAAAATACAGAGGGATCTTGATAAACTGGAGAATTGGGCTATAGTAAACAAAATGAAATTTAACAAAGACAAATGTCAGGTGCTACACTTACGAAATAAAACCAAATGCACAAATACGGAATGGAGGATAACTGGCTTGGCTTGGCAGCACTGCTGAGAAGGATCTAGGAGCAAAAAGAGCAAATGCAATTTTAGGTTGCATTAACAGAGACCCAGCATGCAAGTCAGGGGAGGTGAGAGTACCAGTCTATGTGGCACTGGTGAGGCCTCAGCTGGAGGACTGTGTCCAATTTGATCACTGCTGTATAAAAAGGATGTAGAGAAACTGGAAAGGATCCAGAGGCAAGTGACAAAGATGATCAAAGGGATGGAATGCAAGCCAGATGAGCAAAGGCTGAAGAACTGTGTTTAGTTTGGAAATGAGGGGATTAAAGGGTGACGTGATAACCATCTTTGAGTACTTGAAAGGCTGCCATAAGAAAGATGGGGAAAAGTTGTTGGGTCTTGCAACAGACGGCAGGACAAGAGGCAATGGGCTCAAACTACAGCACAGCAGATTTAGATGAAATCTCAGGAAAAGCTTGCTAACTATAAGAACGGTAGGACAATGGAGCAGACTGCCTGGGGATGTTGTGGAAGCTCCTTCATTGGATGCTTTCAAAAGGAGGCTGGACCCATCTGTCCGGGATGGTTTAAGCCCAACAAATCCTGCATCTTGGCAGGAGGTTAGACTAAATGACCACTGAAGTCCCTTCTAACTCTATGGTTGAATTATTCTAAGGGGAGAGTTTAAAGTGACCTGACTGGAGGGGCATATCACAGGAAGCGGCAGCCCAGAGGGACTGTTGCCAGATGCCTGATGAGGAGAGAATGCTACGCCATGCCCAGCCACAAGAAGGTGAGAGAACCACTACACCATGCCTGGAGGTACTCGGAGTCAACCCCGTCATATATCCTTAGAAAATTAAAAACATGTTCTGATTATTTCTGTTTGCAATTCAGACCTCTGTGGTTCCATGCCATGGTGCACTGATAAATGTTTAAAAAGGTATATAACTACAGTATACAAAGGTTCATCACATGATCTATACTCCACCAGTCCCTCAAATATCCCTCAGTGACCACCTCCCTACTATCTCATAACCTCCCTCAACCTATTCTTATCCCCCTTTACATTCATTTCCTCAACCTCTCACTCCCATCAGGTTTCTTCTCCTCCCAGTGAAAGCATGCTCTGGTCTTTCCCATCTTAACAAAGGCCACCCTCAATCCCACATTGCCCTCACTCCCAATCCCAATCCACTCTCATAATCTTCAAACACATCGATGGCACCGTCTGTGCCTGCTGTCTAGAATTCCTTTCCTCCAGTTCCATTCTAGATCCCTCCTCTCTGCTTTCCACCCCTGTTCTCCACTGAAATCATTCTCACCATAGGCGCTGACTTCCCCTCTAGCTGGGGTGTGCTCAACACCCTCCCTCCACCCCTGGACTATCCCCACTCTACCCCTTTCTCCAAGCCCCCGGTCTGCCCCCATTCCACCCATTCCCCCAAGCCCTGCCCCAGCTCCACCTCATCCTGCTCCTGCCCCACCTCTTCCCAGCTTCCTGCCCCAAGCACGACCTGTCCCCATTCCTCCCCCCGCCCAGAGCATCCTGGAGACGCTGGGAGGGAGGTGGGAGGAGCTGGTCATCAGGCCCGCCTGCGGCCTCTTCTCCCTCTACATCCTATCTCTGGGTGATCTTTTCTGAACACATGACTTTAGCTATCATCTTTGTGCTGGTGACTCATAGGTTTATTGCTGTGCTTCAGTCCCATCTCCCTCTGTCCCAACTAAAATCTCAGCCTGTCTCTCTGACCTCTAGTGTGGATGTCCAGGTCTCAACTCAAACTCAACAGTGAGAGCAGAGCAGAGCACTCAGTCTTTCCCTCCAGGTCTCTCCTCATTCTCTGTTACTGTGGACAATAGCACCAGCTTCCCAGTCATTCAGGTCCATATAACCTGTGCCTTATCTTTCACTCAGTCCTCTCTAGACTCATATATCCAGGCCATGTTCAAATCTTGCTGCTATGTCCTGCATAACATTTCTAATATCTGGACTTTCCTCCAAATCCAAACCAACAAAACTCATCCAGGCCTTAGGTTCTCATTCACATCTCCCACTCTTGGAGGGTCAAAGAAGAACATTGATGAGTTTGCTGCCCAGCAGAATCATCACACTGCCCCCTCCTCTGAAACAGGATGATCCTCTCATCCACTCTTAATGCATCTGGAAGTCCTGGAGCCAGATGGGGCTTTGCGCTCTCTGTGGTGTCTGTTTCCCCTCCATCTCCTGTTTCCCTGTATTTTGCTCACTTCTAAGTTCTTCCTGACCCTCATCAAAATTACCAAGTGAGACAAACAAACAAAAACAGGACTGCGGCAGTAATTTAAAAACACCTCTACCAGAAATAAATGTGTGGACATGTTTTAAAAGTGGGGAGAGATGGACTGATCTGGATTTCAGGAGGAAGCAAATCTCATGCCTTTCACCATGGCAAACACTTGATTGCCTGCAGACTTCAGGCATGACAGCAGAACCCTTGAACACTGGGTGGTATGTGAGCACAGGCACCCATCAGATGGAGCCTCCAGGACCGGGTCTCAGATAGAGTCAGGGCCAGACCCATTCAAAGATAAACAAACCATTAAAGCTCATTTGCATTGAATCCACCTCTTAACAGGCAGCCAATGCAAAGAACGCAGAAGGGGCTGAATATGATCCTAACAGTCCCATGAGCAATTGGGCTGATGCATGTGAACCAGCTGCAAGTGGTGGATCAGCCTTGCTGATAACCTCTCTGATGGGGTATACTAACCCTGCACCAGTAAGGAAGGGGTTAAGCAGCTGCTTTGAGCTCAGGTGGCCCTGCCTGCCACACTAGCCTGTCTGCTTCACCAGCAAACTCCTCAAGGCTCTCCTGGCAGACTTCAGCCTCTGACCTCCTCAGAGATGTTTCTCTGCAATGCCCGAGTCAGTATATCACAGCTTGTTCACTAAACAGGGGTGAATACACCCTTCCCTTCAAACACAGCACTCCATTGGTTTATAGTAAAAGTAGACCAAGTTTGTTAACAGAGGAGCTGGTTTAAGTGATACCAAGTAAAAAAGAAAGGTAGAGATGGCTGTGACATCCTATACCCCATTTCACCACTGTTATATGGTTAGGACATAGTATGTACAAAGTACACCTTGTGAGGTATCCTCTGAAAACTCATAATCTGCTGAACATCACTGTCCTATTAAGATGTGTGTAGAGTAATGAGATTTTACTGTCTGATCGTTACTGAAATATGTTGTAATTCTGGGTAGCAACCACAAGTCAATTTCTCAGAGACAAAGACATACTAGCATGTCAGCAAA